ATTGTTGTTATTATTATTATTATTGTTGTTATTATTATTATTATTTTCCTGTCCTATTAAACTGTCTTTATCTCAACTCACGGGCTTCACTTTCCCGTTTCTCTCCCCCATCCCAGAAAGGGAGGGGGGAGGGTGAGCGAACGGCTGCGTGGTGTTTAGCTGCTGGCTGGGTTAAACCACGACAGTCTTTTTGGCGCCCAACGTGGGGCCCGAAAGGTTGAGATAACGACAGATCTGACCAGAGTGTGTTAAACTAAAATTGGTATAAGTATTAGACATGTTTAATATTTACTTGTCATAATGCTGATTGCTTTAATCTCAAGTCTGCTGCGCCTGTTTTCCAAATTGAGTATTATAGCACATTATTTTCCGTATGTGCTCTCTGTCATGTTGTTTATCCTCTCCAGGCCCTAGTTTAAGATTATTATGGTACTGTATGTTGTAACAGTGGCTAATGAGACAATGAAATATCTGGCCATGACTCTAACTTGGTATTTGTACTCAGTAACAACGTCAACTCTATACTTTGGAAACGACATCTCGGAAACTATTAGCAATTATACCTGTTGCCTTTTTTCATCAGGGAGTCAATCTGTGAAGGGGAAAGGGGAAGATATTTTTTCTTATTCGATCACTCTCCCTTTCTCCTTCACCACCCCCTTATCCTCCGAGCTTGTTACAATAGTTCTCCGAGATATTGAATATCCTTGGGATACTCAGACCAGCATGGTCTTGTTATTATGTCTCCTGAATGCGCTTCAGGTTTTGTGTAAGGTTAAACAACTACTTAGGAATCTCATCCAGAGATCTGTCTGGAGGCAGGACAGTTGTGAGTGGCAGGGAGTATGGGAGGATATGGGCAGGTATCTAGAGCAGTGGGCACCCATAATGTTTTGGAATTTCACCGCTGAACAACTGGAAAATCCTAAAAAACTGGCAGAATGCTTGAAAAAAAGGTGTCATGACTCTGGCAGTTCCAAAGTAACACAAATCATTGTAACGTGCTGGGGCCTGGCTCATGCCTATCGAGCTGCAGTTGATACTGCTATCAACTTAGTGACAGACCCTGTGGCCACTCCAAGCCCTGTGACAGATCCAACAGCCACTGCGACCCCTACGATGGACTCTACATCTGCTCCAGTTCCTGCAGCCGCTCCAGTTCCAGCTCCTGCAGCCGCTCCAGCTCCTGTGGCTGGGTCAGAGAAACAAGCAGTAGCAGTGCAAGTTGCCCCTGAAGAGAAGGTGAAAAAATGGTATAAAGATTCAGGTCATTTAGAACGCAGAGAGTCTTCTGCCAAATCTAGGTATAGAGACGACGATGCTGGGCCATCAGGGATTCAGGAGGAGGAAGATGAGGATGCTGAAAAATCAACAGTAACTACCTGAAACCTATACCAGCGTGAGCTACGAGATGTGCGAAAAGATTTTGGTCGTTGTATAAGTGAGCAGCTTGTCACCTGGCTGCTCCAGTGCTGGGACACCGGAGCCAATTGTGTGGAATTAGAGGGCAGGGAAGCCAGGCAGCTGGGATCCCTTGCTAGAGACGCAGGCATTGTGTGGTGGTTTTACCGTGCTGGGCAGCTAAACCCCACAACTGCTCTCTCACTCCCCCTCCTTTAGATGAGGAGGGGAAGAAGTAAAGCAAAGAACAACTCACGGGTTGAGATAAGGATAATTTAATTAAAGGGAAATAATAATAATAATAATAATTAAGGAAAGATTATTATGAACTAAACAATTTAACTAAGGGGAAATAAAAAGGGAAAGGGGAAAGGGAGGGGAAAAAAGGGAAAATAGAAAGAAGGGAGGAAAACAAACAAACAAAATAAATGAAGGCTATATGGAAGTGCAGAGGAAAGAAATTACTCTCTGCTTCCCACAAATGAGCGATGATTGACCACGTCCTTGAAGCAAGGCCTCAACGCACGCAGCCAGTGTTCAAGAGGAGGACCGACGTCTTCTCAACGAGAGCCCACCCCTCCCCTCTTCTTCCTGTTTCCACCTTTTATTGCTGAGTGTGACATCACATGGTATGGAATATCCCTTTGATTGGTTTAGGTCAGCTGCCCTAGTGATGTTTCTCTTCTCACTTTTTGCCCACCCCCTAGGAGGGTTAGAGAAAGGCCCGATGCTGTGCCACTGCTGCTCAGCAGTAGACACAACACTGGTGTGATAACACTGCTGTACTAGCTACAAGTACAGAGTACGGCACTGTATGGGCTGCTGCAGGGAAAGTTAACATTCCAGCCAGACCCAGTACACATTGACAAAGCAATTGCAGATGGAACACAATCTCACAGCCTCTGGAGGCATCTCCTCTCAGCTGTGAGGGAAAGGTATCCCTTCAAGAAAGAACTTTTATGTCTACCAGGCAAGTGGACCACTATGGAGAAGGGAATCCAGTACCTGAGGGAATTAGCCGTATGGGAAGTGATTTATGAGGATCCAGACCTCAGACAAACATCCAGAGATCCAGATGAAGTCAGGTGTACACAACCCATGTGGTGGAAGTTTGTACGGAGCGCACCATCATCATATGCCAGCTCATTGGCAATAATGGTCTGGAAAGAGGATGAGGAACCCACAGTGGATGAAGTGGCTAAACAACTCCGGCAGTACGAAGAAAGTTTCTCCTCTTCCTTACAGGCCTGCGTCTCAGCTGTGGATAAACTTTCTGAAGAGTTCCACCAACTTAAAGAGAATCTATCTTCCTCCCCACCTGAACAAACCAGTGTCCACCAACCAAAAGAGAACACTTGGAAGAAACTTTCTGAAAAGTTTCACCAACTTGAAGAGAGATTATTTTCCTCCCCACCTGTACAAAGCAGTGTCTCAGCTGTCAGGGGTAGGCGTTCATCCGCACAAGGAAGACGATATGGTGGGTACTCACCCCGTGCCACCCTGTGGTTTTACTTACGAGACCACGGAGAGGACATGAGAAAATGGGATGGAAAATCTACCGCGACCCTAGAGGCACGGGTACGTGAGTTGCAAAAGAAAACAATCGGGAAAAAGGGATTCTCTGAAAAGTTTGCTTCTCCAACTTCCAGCAGACAGTCCTTTAAACACAGAAACGAAGAAGATTCTGGCCAGGACTAGAGGGGCCCTGCCTCCAGTCAGAGGGAGGAAAGGGACAATCGAGTTTATTGGACTGTGTGGATTCGATGGCCTGGCACGTCAGACGCACAGAAGTGTAAGGCTTTAGTAGACTGCTGAGATCCCCCCAAAACATAGCATTCTACCAGCTACTAGGAAGAAAATTAACTCTGTTCTAACTGAAACCAGGACACCTCCACAAGACCCCAGGAGCCCCACAACTACTCCAGCTCACCTTCACAGCACTGTAGTGCCCCTACCACCAGATACACATGGTCTTGTCATTTGCGTCAAACCTGTGGCACCCAGGGCGCTGCAGCAGAACTGACCGGCAACAGCATCTGTTCGGTCTGGGATAGGATTTGCCATCAGCAACAGAAGACATCTGTATTGCTGCAGAGCTCTACATCTGAGCACTGCTGCCATCCAGGCCACAGGAGAGGCAGGGCCACTGTCCACAGAGCTTCTGATTTTCAAAAGCTCCAATATTGTAAATAAATAAACTTCTTTATTTGTACTTAAAAGTGTTGTATGGGAGCCTTCCCCCATAGTGTGTGTTGGGGATAAAGAGGGAAAGCGGGCTCAGGAATAGCAGGGAAGGTGTGCTGTCCCACCAGACGACAAGGTGATGAGGATAAGCCAGGACAAGTCAGCTGCTTTTCCTGGAGCTCCTCCTCAGCCCTGCCCTGGCCACGCAATGAGTGCAGCCTCAGGATCTCTGAGAGGAGCCCTCTGGAGGTACACTACCAAGCTCTGTACTGCTGTGTGCCCACAGAGGACTGCAGACTACCACAGTACCAAGAATGGGCTGTCAGCTCCTTCTACGGCCAAGCAGGCTTTACACGATGTAGGAAGTTCTTTAGCTCACATCAGCTTTAGCTCACATCAACTTGTGATCCACAAGCCAGCTCTGCCTGCACTGTGGGAATGGAGAACTGGAAAGCAGTGTGAGTTGGTGTGGCAGCTGAGGATGTGCCCCAGCAACATGAGATAGCACCCGTTGCCTTCCCAAGACAGGCAGCCCCCAAGCTCTCCCTTGGACTGGCCACATAACAGAGTGAAGAATTTGCTTCTCCTATGTTTTTGTGAAGTAGCCTCAAACTCTTGGTTATTTGTCATTACTGTTCTCTCCTGGCCCACCCTGACTCCTGGTTGCGCACACACACACACACACAGCTGCTTCCCCTGCTCCCGACACAGGAGCTGCCCACCTCATCTTTGGTGAGAAGTCAGCATTGCTCCAGGGAGCTGTTCCAGGTGCTGAAGTACACTGCCTTAGAGGCTGACAAACACTGAAGCAAGCTTGCTGAAAGGAGCTCCAGCTTGCCTGTCCTGCACCTTGCACAGAATCACCCCTCCAGTCTCATACCTCCTCCAAGCCATGCAGGAGTTTGGGATTTGAAGACTTCCCAAAGGCAAAAGCACTCAGGAATACCTTTGTGCCAGAACTCCAGGCTCCAACCAGACCAGGCAAGGGGCAGCTAACATCCCTCTAACTGAAAAAGGATGGGTCACAGCAGCCATTCTGGAAAGCAGCAGCAGGACGCAGGGCAGGGTCGCTCACTGCTGCCAGCACAGGGCCAGGAGAATTTCCTGCAGGTGAAGCCCCATCAGGCACAAGGAAAGCCTGTGTGGCAATCCAGGTTGAGCTGTGTGAGAAGCAATCTCCTGCAGATTGCCAAACTGTCTGTGCTGTTCACTGCTTAGGGAAAACCACCACGAGCCAGACATGGACTTTGTCTCCCAGGGTTACCCACCTTCCAGCTGACTGCTTCCCTCTCATGCACACTTCTTCATGGAATACCAGCCACAGGCCATGTGGGCAGCACATACATCTGCCCTCCTGAGCCTAGCCAGCCAGTTTGTGCCATAGCTGCACCCATGGGATTAAGAGATAAGTGAGGTAGTGTTTCAGGGCTTTATTATGGTCCACAGTAGCAGCAGGAAGGGATTTTTAAATATGTTACAAACTAAGACACATAGAAGTGCACGATCTACAAACAGTGGCATGTTAAGAGAATACCAGGAGTGTGGCTTTGATTCAGGGTGACTGCAGTGCAGCCGCAAAGCCAGGGTACCCCCAAGAGCCTGCGATGTCACTCACAGCATATTCAGTGGAAAGATTCTAAGACAAGAGTGCAGGCTGTGCTGCAGCATCTCCTGAGTGACCCAAGGCCAGCAGAATCCCAGGGCCCCAGCTGTGGTTCTCCATCCTCCCAGCTCTGCCATCACTCTGCCACAGGTTTCACTTCCTTGGCTGCTTCCAGCTGCATCAGTATTTCATTCCACTGGATGAACTGCTTGGACAGAAGCAGGGTCTGGACATTACTCTTAAGGAAAGAGACATAGAAACTTCAGGGAGGAAACCACAGAGCACAGCCCCAGACCCCCTGACAGCCTTAGAGCACCATTACAGTCCTGATTCGTTGGGAGATAAAAAAAAAAAAAAAAAAAAAAAGCTAACCAGGGTGTACAAAACCTACTCAGACACAAATTGAGAAGTCCTGGAGCTGCCACACAGTGCCACACATTAGTGGGAGTCCAGAACAACTTCTGAACACAGCACTGCATCTCAAAGGGCTTTTTACAGCATGACAGAAACACAAGCACCACTGCACCAGGAAGGGCACTGGCCATTAAACCTGGGGATGGGGATTGCCTGCTTCCAACATCTGATGGAGTAAGGTGAGCCAAGAGACAGGCAGACATTTTGGTTTTGTCAGGCCCAGAGCACCAGCTAAAAGGATACCGTTTTGTTGTAGTCTTCAAGGAACGTCTTGACACCATCAGAAAACTGCTTACACTGAGCCTGTAAAAAACAAATCCTCAGCAAGCAAGCAGTAAATAAACTAAAGGACACCTGTTCTTCCAGTGCCTGGCAGTTCAGGGACAGTACTGGGACTAAAGCTCAGGCCCTGGCCACTCTGAAAGCATTTCAGCAGATGAGAGAAAGGTTACACAGGAACACCCATGCTCAGGAAGTGCCAAAGCACCTGAGCTTGCCAGCTGTCTGCTTTTTCTCAGCATCCTCAGCTTGCCTCAGAATGAAAACCCACAGGGAAACACTGAAAGGAGGCATTAGACACTGCCCAGGCTACTCATTGCCACCTCATGGTGTGTCCAAATGGGGAAGAAAAGGGCAAAGAGACAACATAGCAGTATTAAAATCCCTCCAGAGACCAGGAGACTGAAAAATTGCAACACTTCAGTGTCCCACTGACAGAGGGAATACCAACTGATTAAAACCACTGCAACTTAAGTGGCATTCAAACCTTTGTTTTGAGGAGGCTTATTGTAGGCAGATTTTTTCCAACTCAGACTCAGGTACCAGAAATCCTGGCTAGTTCTCCCCCTGCAATGTGCTTAAACCTCTTTAAAACTGCAGCATGAATACACTAAACAAATGAAAATAAGTGGTATAAACAAGCAATTCAAACAATTGCAGATACAGGGGCATCAGTGCTGTTAGCAACAAAAGGTTCTTTCTCCCTGCTAGTCAAGACCATCACGAACACTCACACTACCTGCTGCTGCATCTGGATTTGGGAGAGTCGCTGCAGTTTCGCTGCATGGTCAGGAACTACTGAAAGCACAGAACAGAAATCCATTGTTTGTTTTGTATCACATGGGATAAGTTACTAAGACAAGGACCATTCCTTCAAAGCAAAACTCCACTCAATGAATCCAAGTGCCATGTACCACAAACACCTTTTATACCATAAAAATCCTCTAGCTACACTGTACATCAAGTATCATTACATTTGCTAACGTAATGCTGGGTGAATTAGGGCTTCTGTCTCTAACCTGCTTCCTAACACACGCCACCTCCCTGACCCTTGGTGCAGGAGCCACATTCCCACCCAAGCCATGCTGGGTAACAGCTACAACACTGTAGTGGGTTTCTGTGGCAAGGTTTTGGTAGCAGGGGGCCATAGGGGTGGTTTCTGTGAGAAGGATCTAGAAGCTGCCCCATGTTTGGGAAGGGCCCCACTGCTGACCAGAGCCGAGCCAATAAGCGATGTTGTTTTGCGCCTCTGTGAGAGCATATTTAAGACAGGGAAAAAAACGCTGCGCCACACAGCAGCTGGGAGAGCGAGAGGAGTGAGGAACAGCCTTGCAGGCGCCAAGGTCAGTGAAGAAGGAGGGGGAGAGGTGCTCCAGGCGCCGGAGCAGAAGTCCCCTGCGGCCTGTGGTGAGGACCATGGTGAAGCAGGATGTCCCCCTGCAGCCCATGGAGTACCACGGTGGAGCAGGGTTCCACGCTGCAGCCCGTGGAGGAGACCACGGTGGCCCTGCACCGACAGAGGCTGCCGCCTGTGGAAGACCCCTGCCGGAGCAGATTCCGGGCCAGACCTGTAGCCCGTGGAGAGGAGACCACGCAGGAGCAGGTGACCTGGCAGGAGCTGCTGCCCATGGGGGAGCCAGGTTGGAGCAGTTTTCTCCTGAGGGATGGACCCCGTGGTACAGACCCATATCTGGAGCAGTTCTGGAAGAGCTGCTGCCTGTGGGAAGCCCACGACAGATCAGTTCATCAAGGACTGCATCCCGTGGGTGGGACCCCACAGCACAGGGGACGAGAGTGACCTAGAAGGAGCGGCAGAGAAGAAGTGCTGTAGACTGACCATAACCCCCATTCCCCTGCGCCGCTCGGGGGGAGGAGGTGGAAGAGGATGGATGGGGGGGGAAGGTGCTTTTGGTTTCTTTCCTTTGTTTCTCACTTCTCTAGCTTGTTAGTAATAAGCAATAAATCTTACTATCTTCTTATGCAGAGTCTGTTTTGCCCGTTACAATAATTACTGCGTGATCTTCGTGTCCTTATCTCAACCTTTGAGCCCTTTTCATTGTATTTTCTCCCCATTCCTCTTTGAGGAAGGGAAGTGGGAGAGGGGCTGTGGTGGAGCTCGGCTGCCCACTCAAGCGGAACCACGACAAACACTCTACAGGACACCGTGTGCTTTCCAGCAGAGATCGGACACAACATGAGAGCTAGGTGAGGAATGAGCCAACGTACCGCTGCGTTTGTACCTACTTTACTCACACTGAGTTGTGTGCATAGCTGTCCTCGCCTCAGGTCTGACGCTCAAGAAAAAGCAAACAGCACAGGCAACAACAGCTTGGGGGTGGCACATGCAGCTCAAACTTGTGGAGGAACAGGCATACCTTGGATAGAGGCACTGTCTAAGACAGGCTGGAGATTCTTCACCCGCTCCAAGAGGGCTGTTCGGGAAGGAATGACCTGCTCCTCTGATCGGGCAAAGACAAGAAGGAACATCAGGAAAAGCCAAATCAGTGTCTTAGCCCCCACCTCACAGAGGGGCTTGTCCTACTCTGACCTGATGATCAGCTGGGACTGACACTTGTATCCCATCTCCCCTGTTCCAGCTGATCCAGGTGTACAGAAATGGGCTTTTTTATGGTTTTATTTAGCCTTTTGTGATGCTCACCCCTGGATTCTCATTAACACTAACTTACGTCATGAGAACCTCCACGAAATTTCATTCCCAGACTATATCAAAACAAGGCCGAACCAAGTTTTTGAGGGCAAAAGAGGACAACACTAGAAGATGTTTAACATACATTCAAACCTCTGGTTTTGTTACAGCCCTCAGAATATTAGAAGTAGGGTAAGGAAAACTGTTCAAGCTCCACTTTCTTTTCAACTTTTCATTAATTTAAGGTTAAACTGATCAATACCAAGATCAGAACTGATAAAACTACAGCACAGACATGCACAAGGGAGCACTAAGGGTGATGGATATCCTTCTACAAGTCACGCTTTGGTAGCTCTAAAGAGGGGTCCCTTCTAAATCTTTGTAACTAAGCAAAAAAAAAAAAAAAAAAAAAAACACATCCCAATCCACCTTATTAAAATACAACTTTTGCAGTGCTAAAAACCTGTTCCTTCTCATGTGATGCTGTACCTGCCAAGATGAACTGCTGCTTCATGGTGTTTGGAACAGCCATTCTGTCAGCGTACTGAGGGTCAAGGTATTTTATTACATCTTCAACTAAAGCAAAAAATGTTTTAAGGCAAGAAGTAGGAAAGATGTTGTCACTTTTACAAGCGCAATTCCCCCCTGGACTACAGCACAAACCTGCCTGTTTAAGGTTGTTTTTGTTCAGATTCAGGTTTTTCTGCAGCACTCCCCAAGCACTCACTTTTCTTAAACAGGATCTTGATCCTCTCCCTCTTGCCAGCGATGTTGCTCAGCGCCACCTGCACCTTCACCAGCTCGTCGGCCACCTGCGGGGACGCACAGGGAGGGAGCGGGCCCGCTACCTGCCAGCAGCGGGAACGAAAGCTCAAGAAGGAAATAAATAAAAAATAAAAACTAAAAAACAGGGTGACAGAGCAGAGCCCAGTACCTTATGAGGCTCGCAGACCCCACCGCCAAGGCGCTGCTCCAGCTCATCCAGCCGCCACCACAACCGCTCCAGTGCCACCACCCCCACCGCCCGGCAGCAGCCCGGTCATCTCTTCCGCCTGCCGGCACTTCCACTTCCGGCCGGGCGCTGCCCGTTGCCATGGCGGCACGTTGCTAAGGGATGTCGTTTCCATGGCGACGGGCGGGCCGGTGGGGGGTGTTGGGGTTTGGGGGCGCGGAGTCCCCAAGCCCCCAAGCGGCCGGGGCCGCTCGATGCTGATTTGCACTGCAGAGGAAAGCTTTCCGCACCAGGGAGGTCGACAGCTGCCTCGCTCCTGCGGGCGACAGGCGTTCAGAGGCATGAAAGGGGAGAGATGGAGCGAGTGGGGGCCAGGGGGTTTAGAACGGCGGTGTAATAAATATTGTATAAGTTTGTTAATCAAACCGGTGGGAAAGCTTGTGGGGGCTGTGACAACCCTATATAGCTGGAAAGTTTCCAGCTGACCATCCTGATAAGAACATGTATAGTGCTTGCTCAGCAAGATCGCAACCCGCAACGCAGATGTGAGGAATGTTTTAACAATTCGTGTCCATAAAGAACAGTCCTGTCTGCCTCTGGGCCCTGCACTGGCAATTTAATTCTTGAACCACAGATGCAGTGTATCCCAGTCTCCCCCTCATTCTAGTCAATTTATCAAGTTTTCAGAAAATACTCCTCAAATTTATGAACCTGTTTGCTTTTGTTATTCCGGACTTCTATTTCTAACAGTTACAGCCTTTTTTCTGTCTTCTGCGAGATTAACTTAACACTGCTATAGGTGTGACTGTCCCTGTGAATGGCTGGTGAAGAATGTTTTAATTACTGGTGAAGTGTCAATAAGAAAGTTATTTGTGTTTGTATGAAGTCTTTGATGTCTGGGGGTTTCAGAACAACTGATAACAACTAGTGACTGTTATGGGATACTATGCAAACCTCTGGTATCTGGCCAGGTGGCCAAGAGATTAAGAAGAAGAAAAAAAGAAGCTGAAGGACGGCTGGGAGACAAGACCTGCAGAAAATGTTCTATAAACTTGGTACGGTGCCAAAGGAGTACAAAGGGGAAGGACTTGGAGAGGAAGACTACGAGCCTTCAGCATGAAAGACCCCTAGAGACCCCCAGAGAAGACTGATGCGCATGCTCCAGTAGGAGGGACTGGACCCCGGAAGCTAATTATAATAACCAGGTTTTTTTTAGAAGTAGTAATGAATATGTATTAGTCTAGGAGCATAAAAATCAGCTGCTTGATGTAACTGGTGTGCGTCCTGGTGGAGCGGAGACTCCCGGTGCACCCAGCGCTGTTTGCTTACCTCTATTCTTTTATATTCTTTTAATAAATCCTATTTTTTATTTAATCCTAATTTGAATCCTGAGCCATTTCTAACACAGAGGAAGACTACGGCCTTCATCCTCACAACCAACAGGAGGTCCGAAACGACCCCCTAGCAACAGCACGCGCAACCGCAGGACATACCAGGATATGCCACGTACACCCGGAACAACCAAGCTATAAAAGGGGGACTCTGGCGGGGGTGAGGTGCGCGCCGTTGGTGGAGCGGAGACTCCCCAGCCGCCCAGCGCTGTTTTGCCTCCTTGAATGCTTGCTTAATAAATTTGGCTCTGATAAAGATTATTCTGAGTGGTTTTGGTTCCAACCATTTATTGCAATTGCTGCCGTGACTCAGATGCAGGTCATTTTGGTCTGAGATCTGAGCTCGGATGGGGGCGCCCCATCTTTGGATGGCCCTCGGGTGACTGATCCCTTGTCCAAATCCTGTACATCCAAACCCTAAATTCAGGCAAGCAGGCAAAAGAAACCCACGGTACCCCATAATTTTTGTTCACAAAGATCCAAACGAAGACTCAGGATTGAGTGAATATTGATAAGCGGTGCCATTTGGTCGGGGTGGGTATCCCAAAGTGCAATTAAATGAGACGTTCCTGGGGAGCAAAGTTAGTGCGGACCCTCCTGTAGTGCGGTTCCCATTGCCCGTGAGGGTGTGGGCCACGAACAAATGGAGCATTTGTGTGAGTGTACAGAAGCACTTTGTAAGATGGAGCAGAAGAAAAGCAAGCCTTCTGACCTCATGGGTGGCCCTAAGGTAGGGTTGGAACGGGCTGCCCAGGGAAGTGGTGGAGTCACCATCCCTGGAGGTCTTTAAAAGACGTTTAGATGTAGAGCTTGGTGATATGGCTTAGTGGAGGACTGGTTAGTGTTAGGTCAGAGGTTGGACTCGATGATCTAGAGGTCTCTTCCAACCTAGAAATTCTGTGATTCTGTGATTCTGTTGCCCGCTATACCGACAGAAAGTCCCTTAGGGTTGATGATTGCCCACTGGGATGACTGGCCTTCGAGACAAGGCAAGATGAGAGAAAAGATGGTATATTACTGTATGCAGGTGTGGGGAGGGAAACAAATAAGAGGAGATCACCTATACTGGCCCGTTTTTGGGTCCTTTGAGGATTGGGTTTGCCAAGCTCTAAATATATATGTGAATTCCAAGGAACCTTTCAGTTCAGAGGAAAGCAAATATGCTGGCTTATGGATAAGATCAGATACCCGGACTTATGTATTTACTCTAAAGGAAAAGGGTCAAGAGAATCCCAGAAGGAAGACTAAGAGTCCTGAGGACCCCACCTTGTCCCCTCCTCCCTATGTCCCTCCCGCTCCTGCACCGGACCATATCCGTCCTCCTTCCCCCTCCCCCCCCCCCTGCACCTTCCAAACCCTCCGGACCCCGACTGGGACTCCCTCAGTTCCCTTGGGGAAAATCGAAGAGTAACTAGGAGTCAAAGTAGAAAAAAGGGGCAGTCAAAAGGAGGGCTTTACCCCCTAAGAGAAATAGCTATGGGAGGGTCACAGAACTGGGAATCACTTTAGAAGTAAGAAATGAGGAAATCGCAGTTAAACTGTGTACCCTCGCAGGTTCACAATCTATCTGATGCTTCACAAACAATACAATGGCCTTCTGTTGCCTGCCTGTTAAATTTCAAATTTCTTTTGACATTTTTACTGCTTGAAGGGGTAATGTTTCTTCACTTACCTGACTTGACTTAACACCTGATTTTCACCTAATTGTCCTAAGGAGTCTGGTTGTCTGCATTTTACAAGGTCACCTGCTTAAGCTTTCTTATCACTGTAAGCATATCTATCTCAGTACCACATTCCTTCCTTCTAAACAATGTAACTCTGCAAAAACAACATTTCTATTCCCACAATTCCCCCCTTTTCTTTTTTTATAAACTGTTGATTTTTGCAAAACCTTTCTCTAAGGTGTAATTTGGTAGATTTCTTCTTCTTTGCTTTCTTTGCTTTCCATTTCCTCATTATCTCCTTATCTGAGTAAGGTGGTAGCTCCATGGTCATTTGTTTCAATAGTGCAGTTTCAGTTAACCACTGTACTAGTCCTCTTACACAGGGGATAATGCAGCAACCAATGGCTGTCAAAACTCCTACAACTACGATCAAGGATGTAAATATGCCTACTTTTTCTGCCAATTCACTGGCAAGGGTGGTAAGCCCTTGCAATGCTCTTGTTACTGAGCCATCTGAGACACTATTGTTGAGTATAAGAGTGCAATAATGGTTGCTCAGTATTACACACACAAACACACCTCCTTCCTCTGCAAGCATCATATCTAATGCTATCCTGTTTTCCCAAGCCATTTTGCTGATGGCATCTAGTTGTTCAGCGATTCCTCTTATTGCATCCCTTGTATAATTTATGAATCTCTGCTGATTATAATAGATATAATTAATCCAATCCACATTTTTATTGATTGTTACCCACCAGAACAGTGACTCAAACCCTGCAGCAATTTGATTTCTGGCTTTATGTTCATCTGGAACTCCTCTAGGTACCCCAATAGAATCTATGTATACTCTATCATCAAATGATATTCCTAAGCCTCTTTTACTTCTTCTGGGTATTTGTGATGTTTCTCTTTCAAATGCCAGGGTGAAGGGTATAGCTAATTGAACAAATGCACAAGTGCCTCCCCAATTAGATGGTAGAGTGGACCGTAAGATCTTCCCTCCACCGTACCACCAGAGATCTGTCCTGGGGATCTCTAGTCTGGAGCAGTTTCCCATCAAGTCCTTGGTAGCACAAGGCAAATTCTCCCAGATGCCAGGTAGCACTCACACCCTGCCGTGAGAGGCAAGCTGTATGGTTACCTATAGTTGTAGAGAATGCAGGGGGAACCGTGATATTGTTATCATGCAAGAAACAGCAAAGAGAGACTTACAGGCCTCATTTCCCCAGGCAGTCTTTTCTTGGTACAATGCAATCATACATCGCATCCCTTGGGAGTCTTTGGTCCACCCCCATGGGAAGGGCACTATCTGGGCAATCGGTCATCCTGAGGCACAAGCATAGCAGTAGCTACGGTTGAGACTCTGGACGGTATATTTGACCCATTCTATCCAGGCATTCACATCCCCATACCTTGTTTGAACTGACACATTTCAGAGGGCCTCCTGTTTTCTCTCCTGTTTTCTCCTTGAGTTTCTCCCTTTCTCTGATGGCAATAGAGGATTGTTTCCATACAGCTATTCTCAATCTGGCTGTTGGGTCTCTCCCAGTTATTTGTTCTCTCTGCTCAATTGTCGTTGGGCATTTAAATCTCCACAAGCTAACACCTCACAAACATCAAACGTGACAGATTGTGGTACATAACCCTCTGTCACAGTCACCCATATTTTGATGGGGTATCCCGTTTTTGCTATTATCTGGTCATGCCTTTTCCAAGTTGCCAATTGACCGAGGCCTTCTCTGAGGCCTAGAATCACTAAAAACAAACTTAGTAATCAATTTTTCCCTGACATTATTTTTAAACCTTAGGTTTCCGAATAATTATCGATACAAAGAATAAGATGTACACTACTACTATAACAACCCCCCCCTTGGGAGCACTACAATTCGATATAGGTCTGTTCTTTATCTAAATCACAAGTCACAGTCGTTAGTTACCTGTGAAAATAAAAGGTTAGTTTACAACTGTAAGCTCTTATCCTGCTCAGAGTCCACTATGAGATTTTTCTCTTTGATTTCAACTTCCA